TGTGCAACTCAATATGGAATGAAATGCACAAAACACATAAAGGGCCCCAACCTCTATCATGATTGATCAAGAGGCAAGAGATGCACACACAATGCAATGCAACCTAGGCAAGCAAACATGCATGCAAATAACTCAAGTGTGCAACAAATCTAATGCAACATGAGCATGTTAACATGCAATATGCAATAGGCATACAACCTAAACATGTGGACATGTATCGCATGCAACGACATGCAAAATGAAACAAGCATGCAACAACATGGTGAGATGGACTTACACTAACGTGGGTAGCTCTCAAGCATGCCAAAATCAATGGCCAAATGAGATAAGAACAAGGCCCAAGATTCATGCAAACATACACAATGCAAGGGCTCTAAGCCTAAGGCACAAAATGCAACTCTCCAAGAGCAATGCAAGGATGAAACATGGCATACAATGGCATACATTCCAGCTCTGAAATGGCATACTAAATGGCCCCAAAATGACTCCGAAGCATGCAAACACTCATGTAATGCATTGTTAAAGACTCAAACACCGAAGCTAGTGAAATGCAATACACTATAGACATGCAAAGCGATACTCAAATGACGAAACCAACCCCAAACAAACCTGATGCAGGCCAAAATCAGTGGCAAAATGTGTTGGGATGGTGGCTTGGAATGCACAAAGATGAAGCTCATGCAATGGTCCATAAATGAGGCATACAAGCACAACTCTCAAACGCATTTAAAGAGTGATAAATGCATGTGCATGACCATTAAACATGGACTGAAATTACACTACAAATGATGCCAAATCATTGAAATAGGCCAAGTAATGCATACTAATGACTCAATACATAAAGCATACAAGCAAGATTGAACCAAAGCTATGCAAAACAAGTCATGGGTGACCAAGACAACCAAAATCAGACCTCAAGCATACCAAAACATGCATAAAATCTTCTTGAAGTCAAGCCAAAAGCATGCTAAAAAGACATGTCACAACATGACACATATTAGACTATTTCATGGGATTGCATAGAAAGTGTATAGACCATGCAAGGGATAACCAAACCAAACCTAAACAAAGGTATGACATGAAAAAATAAGCCCAAGAACATGCTGAAATGGACACAACATAGGCTAAAATGAGATGTTACTTCAAGGAGCATACAAAGCTAGTGTGTGGGATTTACATTACAAGTGTATGAGGTATGCAAGGGCCAACCAAACCAAGCAAAAATAGATCTAAAGCATGTTAAAACTACACCAAAAATCTACTGAGATGGCCCAAAAACAAGCTAGAAACACATGCTCAAACATAAGGCATACAAGACTAGTTTGCAAAATTTACACTACAAGCGTATAAACCATGCATGGAATGACCAAGATAGGCAAAAACGGTGGCATATGACAGAAAAATAACCACAAATACCAGCTAAGACATGGCCAACATGAACTTAACAAAGGTGCTCACATATAAGGCAAATATGACAAGTATTGAAGACAATAAAGAAAGGGGGTGGCCCTCTCCTTCTTAGGACCTCAAAACACCACCCCCACCACTGAAATCCCACTGAAGGCCAGTACAAGCTGGTCCCGAAGCTCACAAAAAAGGCACAAAAATGAGGCCAAACAAGGCCTAAGAGGGGGTAAAAAATCCCAAACACAAAAGTGATCTTAAACAAACTTCAAAAGCATACAAAAACAGAACTTTTATCAGTTATAAGTTAAGCTCAAAACAACATGCAAGATAGGCTAAAAGTATGTGCAAAAATGGGAAATAAAGAGTGTAGTTCTCACCCTTGATGCACAGTTGCAAAACCAGCAGGTTCTTGGACCAAGAACCAAGTCTTTAACCTCTGAAAATGACCTTCAAGAACCTTAGATGAATGGTGGAGGTGTGTGGCTATGAGGTGTGGTGTAATAGGCCAAGAACATGACCCTTTTGAACCCAAAATATAGAGATATAAAGTCTTGGAGCCTTGAACAAATTTTTGGAACTTCTCTAAAGGAGAGGAAGGCCCTCTCTTATAGAGAAGCAAGAGGGTTCAAGCTTCTTGGAGAAGCTAAAGAGGATCAAGCTTCTTCAAGAAGCTAAAGAGGTTCAAGCTTCTTGGAGAAGCTAAAAAGGTTCAAGCTTCTTCAAGAAGCTAAAAAGGTTCAAGCTTCGTGGAGAAGCTAAAAAGGTTCAAGCTTCTTTAAGAAGCTAAAAAGGTTCAAGCTTCCTGGAGAAGGTAAAAAGGTTCAAGCTTCCTAGAGAAGCTAAAAAGGTTCAAAAGGTTCGAGCTTCCTCAAGAAGCTAAAACAAGGGTTCAAAAGGTTCAAGCTTCCTTAAGAAGCTAAAACAAAGGTGCAAATCCTCCGTACACGTGTATGGAGGATACAGACTGTGCCACCTGACACTAAATATCTGCATAAAGCAGATGAACAGGGTTCGGCCAGTAGAAAAGGTCGACCGACCAACACAAAGGGCTGGCCGACTAAAAACATTGCCGACCGGCCGGCCGATAGCAATAAAACAGGGCCGGTGGCAACATGCCAAGGCCGGTAGGGTATGGGGATAGCCAACAAGCCATTTCCCCCCCTCAGGTGCAAAGACCACAAGTCCTTGGTCCAACCAAGCACAAAACAAATAAGTCGAGAGATCTTGAGGCAAGGTGCGCGACTGAGACCTCCGAGAACTCAAGACGAACACGACCATGGATGATCATCGAGTGTTCAAACGATGACGTCCAAGTCTTGAGGACGGTCAAAAATGAGGTGTCTACAATTCCCAAACGAGGCCTAAGTTTATGGCGTATTTGGCTCTAACTCCCAACCTACGGATCTGGATTACATTCCGTCAGTTGTCACAAGTCTTATTTTTCATGGAGGAACTGTCCGTGTGAGCCACACAGTGGTTTGAGGGCTGTTTTGAATTTTCGCCCCAAAAATGCCCTTTTTCGGTTAAGTTTAAGACATTTTTGGCTCTAACTCCCAACCTACGTGTACTAATTACATTTTATCTATTGTCACAGGTCCTATTTGTGATGGGGAAGATGGCTGTGACATCCGTACGATGGTTCGGGGGCTGATTCGCATTTGCGCCCCCTTAACGCCCTTTTTCGATTAAGTTTAATGCGTTTTCGGCTCTAACTCCCAAACTACATGTGCTAATTACATTCCGTCTATTTTCACAGGTCCTATTTGTGATGGGGAAGGTGGCCATGACATCCGTACGGTGGTTCGGGGGCTGATTCGCATTTTTGCCCCCTTAACCCCCTTTTTCGGTTAAGTTTAATGCGTTTTCGGCTCTAACTCCCAAACTACGTGTGCTAATTACATTTCGTCTATTTTCACAGGTCCTATTTGTGATGGGAAAGGTGGCCGTGACATCTGTACGGTGGTTCGGGGGCTGATTCGCATTTTCGCAACCTTAACCCCCTTTTCCGGTTAGAAGAAATAACACAAAAGTGCTTCAAAAATATGGAGGATCTCTAAAAAATAAATAAATAAAATCTTCTTTTGAAAATTGACTAACTCAAGGACTAGTTTGACAACCCAAGGTGTTAATCTTGTTGAATTACTTTAACTCCCCAACAAAAATGATTTATAAACACACAAATCTACCCTTTTGTTTCTACATTTGCCTTTTACCTTCTATCATAATTACTCTCCTGTCCTTAACAATTTCAATCAATTATATATAGACTATATATCTTACACTAATGATGAGTTAAATATAATATTTGTTCCACCATACAGATATATGAAATACCATCCTTATATAAATAAAATTACCATTATGTTATCAAGTTCCATTAGTTTACCTCCTTTTTGAATTAATTTTTCTTTCATCGCATTTTAATAAATATTAAGACCAGGACATTGCTTTAATGCCAAAGAATAATATTTTTGCTAAAATTTGAAGTAAAGTAATATCTGAATAACATTTTCTACTTAAATGACAAGAAATGTGTGTATATATGGAAATAATAATACAGACTTAGTACATAGGGAGAGATCCTTTTTTAGTCTTACATTACATCGTTTCATAACTTTTTGCTAGATTCATATTTCATAAAATAAAACGGATCGTTCATGCATGCCAAATTTTAGGTTGATCAGAGATTAAAAGTTCTCTTATTATTCTCTTATTATCCAGATAGACCACCAAGTTAGAGTCATATTCTATTAAACAATACCAACATATATATAGATAGTTCATGATTTCTAATTGACCTTAATTTGGCAAACAAGATTAAAATAGGAGGAACGTGTAATCTAATGATCAATTTTATTTATTTATTTATTTATGTCATTTGTCTATAACACTATATCTATAACAAAAAAAAAAAAAAAAGTAGCAATTCATGATATTTGTCTATTAATTTTAACAATATCATAACACAGTTAGCAGCAGAAAATGCACCAACATGGCAAGATAATAAGTTCCGATACTCAAAGAGAGAGAATATGAACATCAACAAACAAGGAATGTAATCAAACTACTTACAGGAAATGAAAGATACAAAACAACAGTCCACTCAGCCCAAGACAATGGCGTCACCTACAAGACAAAATTCAAATATTTTAATTAACAACCTTATGTAACGGGGCAAAAAAGTCAAATCATAGAAAAGAAATTGCAGTAAATAGATAGAAGTAGAAGATAAATCACTTACGGAAAAAAAGAATAGACAGAGGTCGCACGTACAAGATAAGAATATGAAGGAGCATGGTCAGTACAATTGAACCAACAAGCCACAGATGGAGAAAGAGACAGATTAGAATTTGAAACAAAGCTTCAAAGAGGGTCACATTCAAGAACAGAGTTACAAAACACCACTCTTTTGAATAGAAATATCATTTATTGATGCCCAATAAAATCAAATCAGTGCATTGTTGGGTGTAGGTTATGGAGTTGCTTATAGCTCTTTATTTTTTATATATTTTTTTTGTTTTAGAAATTCGTGTCAATGTTTGGTGCAACTTCTGCTTGTAGCTTTTGCGGCAGAAATAATAAGTTGAAAAACACTAGTTATTGAGAAACACGAAAAGTGGTGCTTTTAACTTCTGCTTTCTAATTATCAACTTTAACATTGCTAGAAGTTGTACCAAACAGGCCGACACAAAGCAGATAACACCCTCAGAAGGATTTACTTGTTGGAAACAAATATGGATTAATACAGCAAAAGGAAAGTCATCAAATAGGCCATCTATGAAGAATCTAAGACGAGAGAGAAAGATCGTGCCCCCATATTTGCCAACCACATTAAACCCGTGAATAATTCTGACTTGTGAATCTGCACAAGTGACCATAAGCTTACTTGGGTCTTGTGGGAAAAACTGTAATCGAATAACATGAAAGTAGGAAGAGCTGTACATTTAGTTGAATAAAAAATGAATTTGTAATAAATAGAAGCACCATTGCATGTGAAAAATGATTAAAGATACCTGGAATCCAATTATCCTTTTGCATGGTGCCTTTTTCTTGCTGTGTAAATCTATCCGAGCATCCAGCTGAAAATGGCCATCTGATACAAGCAAAGCACAAACCAATTCGTTAATGTAAAGTTTTCTATGGAATTCTTGAGATTTTGAAACAATTTACAATCTGTTATATAGTACATTCCAGCCGAAGTATTGCAAGTCAACTATTGAGATCTAAAAGTACTGACTTTTAATTTCTTTTCAAAATCAGAGAGCTAAGAGGAACATGTCCACTTCTTTTAGCCAAAATCCATAATGCATTATCAAAACATCTCCACAGGGATGACAATATGAAAACTGAAAACCTTTCCACTTTGGTCCGGTACAAGACCTTGTTTACAAAAAGTGTAACCCAACCAAACTAAGCCTTGTGTCCCAGTCATGTTGGGTCGGCTACATGAATCTTTTATTGCCATTCAGCCATCAAGGGCTATATGCATATTAGGATTCATGTTCATAAGGGATCTAACCGGGATTTTATGTGTTGGCTGTCAAGCTAGCTAATACAACCCTACTCCTTTATCCAGACTTGGGACCAGCTGTATAGAAGATTAAACACTAAGCACAACACATGCCACAAGTATATTGAAACAAAATTGCATGCCACAATAACACTAGTATTTGAGCTTGGGAACTCCACATACCACAACCATGCAACTCGATACTCATATTAAAGTATTAAACCAAGTCGTCCTAAAACTAACTAGACCACAATCCATACGAGACATATTTGTTTGGGCAGACATGGCCTTGGAATTGGACTAATAATCCAACAAAATGCATAATCTAATGTTTGGCTAAGAAAATTGGGGTCCGGACTAATATCCATCCAACATAGTATATCCCCCCATATGGGGGGATTATTGAATCCCAAGAGGGGGTGGGATACAAAGTGAAGGACTAAGAAGAGATTCGGACTAATTAGTTAAATTGCAAAATTATGATAATATTTTCTCAATCCCTCCTTGTAATCCCAATACAATCCAATCGTGGGATAGGATATAGAAAAGATAAAAGGCAAAAACAAGCAAAATGAACGTACATGTTGTGACAAACTAAACAATAAATCATGAGTGTTCAGATATTAACCAAGCATTACGCCAAAAACTGCTAAAAGAACCCCACAGTGATAAGCTTTCTTTGCAATGCACAATAGCACAAGGGTCAAAACATCAATCAACCCCCATGCACACACTAAAAGAGAAATTTTATTAATACCAATTGCCTTAATAGTATTTTAATTTACCTGACTTGTCATAAAGCATGGAGCCAACAATCACACCCTGTATGACAGATAAGGAAACTGTTCAATTGAAATGTCTTTCAGTTTCTAAGATTACAGCCTCAACTGAACAAGATGCAAAGACAAGACAATCGCTAAACCTTCCCATTATGGCGATAGCACACAGCAGTGATAATATCTTTTACATATGTCCAATCAACAACTTGGCAACTAGTAATTGCCCAAATCCAAACTTTTCCATCTATTGAACCACTGATAAACTGATTATTGTCCACAGGATTAAACTGAACACATGTCACTGCATGACACAAGAATATGATGAAAAAAGTAACTAATTGCTATGTAAAATAATAAGTAATTTGATAAAACTCTGCATGATCCACTAATCAAAACTATCTAAGGAAGAAAAACACATACAGCAAGAGCCGCACCGTAATTACTATGTAAAAAAACTTTAAGGCAATGCTCACATCCTACTTGCCATAAACAAACAGTTTCATCAATTGCTGATGAGAGAAGGCACTTCAACAAGAACAGAAATAATTAAAATTCAATTTAATATCTACAAAGTTTGGGAAAACTTAACTACTTTACAATTAATAACTTACATTAGTCTTCAACCATGAGAGATCTAAGATGTCATCATCGTGCCCATTGAACTGATGTAGTGGCTTCTCCAATATCCGAAAGACCCTCGGTGGGAAGATGACAAAAGCTGAGTCTGCTATTTTTTTTAGGCTCTTCAATTTATCCAATTTCTCTTTCTGCACGATTAAGGGTGAAAGCTCAGAAAGATGATTCACTGTGAAATAAATGCATGAAGGATTGATGTCTGGAATGTCAATTTCATTTTATCTTGGATCTTCCACCACTTACTAAACACGCACAATACGATCTTCACCAGCAGTCGCAAGGTACTGCCCATCAAGGCTAAATTTCATTGTCAAAATTGAACCTTCATGGGCTTGGATATTTTGTACCATAAATAGAGCAGAGAGTTCCTTACATTGCTTTCTGGAATGGCAAACCTTAACCCTCCGAATTGGTCCAAACCCAATGCTTTATATTTATTTTTCCACCTCCCAAATTCCTTCCCAATGCTTCAAAGAGGGTTAAGGTTCCACCTCCCAAATTCCCAATTCTGTTCTTGAATGTGACCCTCTTTGAAGCTAAACAGGAAATTAAACTAAATAAATAATATAAACGCTAGACCAAGAGTGACAAAATGGGAAGATAGAGGAAGGAGAAGAGAGAGAGAGAGAGAGAGAGAGAGAACATATTCGTATTGCGGCGGTGGCGGTGTGATTTGCGGCAGTGTGGTGGCGATGTGCGTCTTACAGTAAGCAACGGCGGTGAACGACTGCAGCGAGGTGAGGTTTGGTGGTGACTTACAAGAAATTGCACTTTTGGCAACTACTTTTGGTAACGACGTTAATTTTTCGTAGCCAAAACTATATTTTTGGCGACGCAGTGATCAATTTCATTGGTAAAAGTAGACCTTTACCGATGCAATTTACAGCCGTCGCTAAAAAAGTATAACATTCATTAGGCGCTAAAATTATTGGTTGGCGCCAAAATTTTAAAAATTTTAGCTACGAGGCTTATTTTTTAGCAACACAATAAGCGTCGCTATTAGTTGTGGACGCGCCCTCGGGCTTTATGCCACCACAGTTCGGACTCCCTTTTGTGTCACGGTTCTTAATCTGAACCAAAGAGTCCAAATCCGGCAAAATCATTTTTTTGAAAAACAGATTTTTGTAAAGAAGTGCCAAACATGGACTGCTTTGCCAAATACAGAGTCACCACCTAAATATTTTTTAATGGGAAAATGATTTGTAAACACACAAATCTACCCTTTTGTTTCTACATTTGCCTTTTACCTTCTATCATAATTAGTCTCATGTCCTTAACAATTTCAATCAATTATATATAGACTATATATCTTACACTAATGATGAGTTAAATATAATCTTTGTTCCACCATACAGATATATGAAATACCATCCTTATATAAATAAAACTACCATTATGTTATCAAGTTGCCATTAGTTTACCTCCTTTTTGAATTAATTTTTCTTTCATCGCATTTTAATAAATATTAAGACCAGC